GTGTTATGATTAATATTGGTATACCTAGCGAAGAGTGGAACAACATATGATAATCAAACGGTTACGCCATTTTATTTATTAATTATAGACCATTAATAAGTTAATTAATTAACGATCATTTTTAATACACTGATAAATTTATAAGGCTGTCTTACAATCACATTTTTTTAATAAAATGTACAGCAAACTTTATAATAATCCGTAAATTACAATCAATATTACAATTTAATAAAATTGTTTTTACTTTATTTAAACATTCTCTCACGAGAATATATAAATATAATGCACTCAGTCGTGAGTTTTAAAAGCGGAATGGTTAGAAAATATAAGTTTTCTATCCTGATAATATTTTTCGTCTGGCGAAGAAAAAATTATTTTGATAACATCTGAATAAAAATAAAATTGCGCGTCCCATATAGAGTCGATAGGCAGAAGGCATAGACCAGGAAGAATAATTAACCAAGGAAAATTACCGTGGGTCTTTTTTTCTGGGGATCAGGGATTCAGGGAAGATTCATTCTGTTTTCAACTTTGTCTCGTACACCATTTTTTTTGAAGACACAATTTTTTTCCAGAACATGAAGATGTAATCTAAAATATATTTCTCATTGCAGATTCATTACACTTATTGGTGGTGGCATCAAGGCAAATGGCAGGACTTGAAGTCAGAAGGCAAGCGAGCAAACCAAGTCGACATAGTATTACATAGGTAAGTATGTTTGTGGGTCAGTGGCACAACCCGAGCCACAATATACACGTCTGACACTGTACATCTCTCTCTTGCCCCCTTCCTCAATTTTTTCCCTCCATCTCTCCATTTGTTTCCTCGACTCCACAACGTCCGGCTAAATCGTACATTACAAATCGTGACGTCCATTGTTCTTGAACTTGTACATATGTACTCAGTCGTGTGTGAGACCAAGTATTATAATACCAAGCCTTCCCGAGGAAAGACCTTTTATGGCGCACTGTCATTACATTTTTCTTTCTCTGTCGCATTTCTCTCGCTTATTTCAGGTACCGCATGCTCTTTTTTACAATGAGTTACAATAACTCGTTATTTCATACCTTTTAATTACTACTAGGGGAGGGGATTCTCCCCATTATTTTGGAATTAGCCCCAATTAATTCTCACGTTTCTATTGAACTCCCACATTTTTTAAAAGCGAAATTATGTCTCTGATATTTCTGTACCGCGAAATTTCCATAAAATTGTGGATTTTTTATGGGAATTGATTAAAAATTGAGGGGATTATTCCTCTGATGATTGATCAACTAAATATTTAGCAGACAAATCCCTTTAATCTGCATAATTACCGTTGATTGTTAAAAATATTCTGTGAATTTTGAAGGTCTCGGGGTATTACGACTGAAAATACCGTCCAATCCTGAACTCTCTGCCCCCAAAAACTTTTTCAATCCCCCGTTTTTACTGGAATTTTTGCATAATCTCACCGCACCAATGATCGTTGCATCATATCGATTTGCTCGATCGATTATTATCGTAAAAACAATCCCAAAAATAGGACTACGTGGTTGCACGAGTGAATGAACTGGCGGTGGCAACAAAAGGAATTATTGCCATAAAATAATTTATTGAAATAGTCGAGGTGATGAGTCAGGGAGAAGGAATGACTATAGTGCATGATAAAAATGATAAATGCCTGAGGATTCGTATGATTGGAATTAAAATGAGAGTCTGCGTTATTTTTTAGTGATATTGAATGGAATGTGATATTCAGGATTGAGAATTTCTTTAACAAAATTCAAGGATCCAGAATAAATTAGGCACAGCTCATTGACTCCTTGCCAAAGAAAATCCTAGGCTCATTGCTAATGCTATTTTAATTATACCTCAGTACAGGATTTATCTGGACACATCAAATATATTTCGTGAAAGATAAAAATCAGTTACAGTTCCTCCAGACGTTCTCGTCTTGCGCCACATCATACAGTTAATTCTAACGGATCTTTGTCTATTCTCAAAATTTTCGGCTTGACGCTAGAATTAACGTGTTCACCTAGGTCTTTCATGCTCTAAATTCTTACGTAGTCCCTTATCCACCTACCGGTTTGCCAGTTTGAGAGGAAGAAATTCTACTGGCTCGAATATAACAGTTGAATTGAAATAAAAAATCGTGTCAGTTGACCACAGACTTGTATCAAAAACTCCAATTCGTGGGACGTGATCCGTAGGCATGATTCACTCACGGATATTCTCTCTGCTCCATATAATCACGGAATTTTCGTATCAGACAGGTGTGACATTTTTACGAATTTTTACGAATAAATCTTCATAATTTTTCAATAATAATTCCTCGACTTGTGGACACCATCTCATCATCGGATCCT